AGGCAACTACTTACTCTTTGCTGTCATGATGTAAGCACTCACCAAAAGGTCCTATCCAAAAATTTAAATTTGATTTAATTACTCCCTCCTGTTTTCACCGGTGATCATGCTAAGTTTCCTAAGTCTCTAATCTACCCCTTTGTAAATAATTTTGTCCTCGCGCAAAATATTTAAGAATTCAAAAAAAGGAGGATCAGTTTGGTTGTCTCCTAATTTTTAGTTTGTAACTACCATTTAGGGGCTTGGAAGATAATTGAGCGAAAAGCAGTGTTTTAAAAAATTGAGATTTTATTAATTTCAACGTAAATTACCTAATCTCAAAATATATTTCAAGAAAAATTTACTACTAAAATCCAATTGTAGGATCAAAGAGTGACTTTGAACCTCTCTTTCTGCCATAATGTTCCATTTAATTTTGAAACTTTAAAGACTCATTTCTTGAAATGGCAAAAACTGCCCTTATCCCACTTTTTTTCCAAGCCCCTCCATTGAGCGTTCCTTTTGTTTATTGGAGGATGTTGTTCTTTTTCATTTCCGAATTAAAAAATTGTTTGTTTACTTTATGAAAGTGTCTGATTTTATTTAAATTGACCTTGAAAACTTATGTAATCGTGCAGGAAAGGTAGAAAGAAAGAGTTTTTCCTCCCTTTAAATTGTTCATGGGTTCCCGTGTGTAGTAGCTCTCGGATGAAATGAATGAAATAAGCACTAGTAGGTACATTTAAATAACTCTGATTTTATTAGTTGGAAGAAATAAAGAAAATAATGAAATAAGGTAGGTACAACAAGTTCGAAGAATTTTCAAAGTTTTAGATTGCATATTAACACACAATTATTTGTTTAAAAAATTAAAAAAACACAATGAACAAAATGCACGTCAGCACAATTTTTACAGAGTTATAAAATCCTAAAAAAGAAAACTCAAGACGTACCTAATGTTCTTTAAAACAAAGTTTTTTCTGTGAGCATTCTTTCCATAATTATTTAAGAGCCAGGATACTGAAGCGAAGTCAAAGCTGAGCCTATAAAGACTATAGTATGTAGCAGGGTCAGATTTGCTGGAGTGTTGCCAATTACCTGAACCAAATTTGCTACCCTTATCAGCAGCAATGGTAACCTTTTTTAAAGCTCTACGTTCAAAAAATCTGCTCAGTTAAACCAATTAATGCCTTCTGGCTCATTTCTCCCAAATAGTATGCACCATATTTTTTCATCCATACATTTCATCATCAGAAACCGAAATTTCACCAGCTACTTAAAATTTGCCAAAGTTACTCATGGTCTCTGTGCCTTTCCCCTTAAATCTGGCCCTCGCATCTGGTCAACACATCTCTCTGGATGTCGTGCGCTCAGTGAATTTTTCTGCACTTTGAGAAACGTCAATAGGTAAATCAACAACATTGAAAGAGAAGATAAAGTTTTTAGTGAGTCTCGATCTCTGAAGACCTACATCAACAGAGAGCTGCTGCCATTTCAAGAGAAAACTTTTGACTACCCAATGGATGAGAATCTGATGCAAACCGAAGTTCATAAACATAGTCTTTGTCAGTTTTTATGTGTGCCATTAGTCTACTGTAAATGAATACTTACTTAGGTACATATTTCACTTCTAAAATTAAAAAATTCTTAAATGGACTCCAAGCATAGACTGATCTATGATAAAGTACACAAGCGTGGCATGTGGAGAAACTGATGAAAATCAGGAGAATGATCAGAAGAAAGAGAATTAATCAAGGTTGAAACAGTGGACATCCTACAAGGCCAGGAGCTAATAACAAAATTTTACGTTAGAATTGAAAGCTAAGCCACTACAAATCAAGATCAGCCTCTAAACAAGAGCAACAATTGGATCTCAATATTTAAATGGAAGCCAATTAACGTTATTATTAGCTCAACGTCAAATTCCTATGTCAGTTCAATTTGGAACGAAGGGAGAGGTAAACCAGAATCTGCGTGGATTAAATTAATTCCAGGAAAATGGGAGTGGATGGAGAAATTTAATTAAACTCTGAGAAAATTACACTGCAAGTTTTAGAAGATCCTTTCACACTTTGGCAAGCATGAGTTAATCGATTTTGAGCTTTTTAACCCCAAAAAAGGCAAATTGAAACTTTTCATACGTCAACTTAACAAAATTTGACAGTTAGTTTCTTTAGAACTTCTTTAAAGAGTGAGATGGAAGCGATGATTCCCCTCATCCACAGCTCCTGATTTTTAAACCTGCTTCGAAACCCTTGATGAGTAGTATGCGTCAGATTAACTGTAAGATCACTAATTTATTTTCAGAAAACCAAAATTTTCAGGTACTTACTAAAACTTACACACTTTAGGACTTGTGCGACAATGTTGAGGCTTGAGCTTTTAAAATCTTCCAGATTTTTTCTGATCCCAACTTTTTGTCTTTAGATGAAAATCATCCACCACAGCACTACGCAGTAGTTATCAGCTCCTTTCCTGCTATTTTATGTTTTTACCACTGATAGAATATGGATGCAGCCTTAATCCAATTTGATATTTTATTCCCCTTTCTTTTGATTCTAGTTCTGGAAAAGATCGCACTTCATGCTTAAACTAACTTTCTCCAAATAAGTAGAATTTTATTCTATGTGTTAGTAGCAGCTTTCCTGTTTCTAAAAATTATTTTGGGTCTCATTGGAAAATAATTTTCGGAGTTGACTTTTATGAAAGAAATATTTAAATATCAATTATCAAAAAAGCCTTTCAGTACTTAAAATGTTTTAAAGGTTACTATTTTTACATTCTTTAAAGTTCGAGGCCCATGGTGAGAGTAAACCACAAAATACATCACTTTCATTGAAACATTTCAAAGCACTTGAAATTCTGGCAAATCACATACTTACCTCATCAAGCCTTAGATGCTGCTCAGTGAGATCACAACCTGATAAAAACATAACGATGGTGAGATTACCAGATCACATACCTCGTTTGCAGTGTTTAAAAATCTTCCCTCCCATTGTATTTTCTTGAGAGAGAAAAAATGAATATCATTCCTTGAAATTTTCACAGAGTTTTCTTTGTGCACTGAGGGAAAATTACGGAAGTTTTCAAGAACTTACATTTTTAAAAATAAAGTATGACAGGAGGTCTACGACGTCGCAAACTGAGATAAGCGTTCTGGTAGTTTCACCACCGATAATTTTTCCCCACTTCCTGCTTACAAGCAAACTATCGATAAGAAGTGATCCATGCATTAGAGGACACTTGTTCTTATCAAATCAACAAAAGGGTCCTTATAATCACAATGCCCAATTGTCAAACTAAAAAAAACTGTAGTAATACTACAGTATCCTTGCACTTTTCGAAATTCGGTTTGAAAGTAACTATATATATCTAAATTTCAATACTAACGATAGGTCACAAGTATTGATTTAAATAAGGTTTAATTCAAATTCTGACCCTCTGTTGAACTAATTGATAGTATGTAACAAGATTTCTCCACATGATTAGTAGCAGTACCTGTCATAAAGTAAACATTAGAATGTAAGTGACGATGGCTTGATAGTGTATTTTGGATTCAATGCAAATGCCTCACTGGTGGGTGGTGCGTGACATAGGATCACATATCAATTACACATGGGGTAAGTAATTGACATTATCCAACCAAAAATCTCACTATTATTTTAGACAACAGGACCTGGAAAAATCGCTCTTACTTTTCCAGGAGGACAATTTAAGTTTTTACAACCAACTTAGAGTGGTAGTTCTGTCTATTTGTCTTGAGGATTGCACAGAAATTCAGATAAAAAAATAGCAAAAAGACTTTCCTCAAAAGGTACTGTTGCATTTTTACTTTTTTAGGTTCTCTCTGTAGTTTTTAGAACTTCCTACTTTCATAATTCATATTTTTTTCCTCCACAAATTTGGATTTTGACACGGAGCAAATAGAAACAAACAAGAGTGAGAAATAAGAACATTACTAGCTCCATCCTACTGCACCTTACTTTAATTATCTAGGAAAAAATTGAAAATTAAGTTGGCCGTTGTTTCAAACATTCTGGAGGTAAGACTTGAGGCTTTTTTCTGTAGGTACACATTCTCGGTATGGACCATCTGTACAAAGTTCAGTGTGGCACTATTGTTGGCCACTACTTATAGCATTACATAGGTACATATTGACGGTGAAACTATCTAACGCCATATCTCGTTTGCGGTGTTTCAAAATCTCCGTCCCCATCTTATTTTTTATAGGAAATCGACTCAACATGATGACTTCAGTTTTACAATTGAAGATCAAAGAATGAAGAAGTGTTCAGAAAATCGTTGCAAACCGAGATTCGTAGTTTGAGACTTTCACAGTCAATGTGCATTCACAAAAAAGCTACCAAAATATGTCGTATGCTGCAGCAACAGTACCTAAACATTTTTGATTCACGCAATTGAAAATTTTAGGGCAGAAAATGACAGAAAAATTTACTAGAGTTTGTTACTGCTGTCTTTCACGGCTGTTCATTTTCTAGTCATGAAAGATATTTATGCACCATCTCAGAACTAAATATTGTTAGAAACTAGATGATTTATCTTTTGGCTTGGAGACTGTGTGGCAAACAAAAAAAAAACTAAATGATGGTGAATCGAGCTGTGGCCACCAATCAGTCTCTTAATAAGTTAGCCATGGAGGTTAGTTTTAGTCCCTATATGAGACAATCTTAAAATGGTACTGTTGAGAAAAGCTACGGATGAATCTAGTAGTGGAGCAGTCAAACATAATGAGTTCATAAATGTAATAGACGAGCGACGACTCTAACATTCTGAGCTTTTCAAAATATATATTTCTAAACGATTTCTCAAACTTGCAAAACTGCATGCTGACTTCCTGATGCTAACAGCTTTTTCTTTCATGATCAGTTACTGAACCTCAAACCCACAGCGATTTCCATTTTCAGGTTCTTCTGATCTTAGGGAGATAATTGTTTGATGTATCTATTTCATTTCCCTCCCCAGTTAAAACTGCTGAGTTTTGATTATTATAATTACCATTAGACAGTGGAAAACATCAATTTATTTCTCTTTAATTTACTTTTTTCTTCATATCAACTTTTAATATAGAACTAAAAACACAATAAGAATAATAATTTTAGAAAAAATTATAAGTAAAATAGTTCATAAAATTTGATAAAATTAAGCAACAACCAATAAATTTACATTTACGCTAAGTCAAATCTAACTTAAGATTATTATCAAAGACTTTCTTTGCACACTGAGTTTAATTTGTGTTGGATTTTTCCTCAGTTGTTTGTCCCCCACCTCAGATTACCTTTCATCTATTGCACATTGAAATCTCACAATAATCTGAGGATTGGATACATAAAATGGGACCAATGCACGATAAAAAGAGTGGGTATTGATAAGCAATTACCTCACCAAACCTAAGTCTTATTAAAAGGAGGCAAAAGGACCGATGGACACCAAAAGGATTTCATCTTTAGGAGTCAAAAATACACCTCTAATCTCTCGAAGGTCTTACACCTACAGGCGCTCATAGATTTGGGCTAGATCAGTTCCTGTCAGGAATTTTAGCTAATGGAAGGAAACAGATTACTGAGTTTCACCTCTTCAAAATATCAATTGCTTCTTGAAAACGTTGTTTTTCAAAATCAAAAGTTGTTCTTCTGCACTTGGGTAGTTAGAACTAGAGAACGATTTCCTGGTGCTTAAGTGTCATGGCAATAGCTCAAGACAGGGAACTTTCAGAGTCAAAAATAAAGACTTTTGTGCAAAGTCTGATCGCACTTGTATGGCACTGCGACAACTTGCTCAATGAATGGATCGATTACAGACATTATAAAAAATGAGGCTTCTAGATCAATTATCATTTCAAAGTAGAATTCGAAAGTAGTTTAAAAGGAATAATGCAATTTTCAACATGGAAAAGTAATGGACAATGGGGCAATGAAACTCTTGGTAACTTTAAAGAGACACTTTAATGGACACTAATCATTCATGTGTTTAAGTCCAGGGAAGTGTCAAATAATTTTTCTTTGCTCTAAATAGGGATTTGACTGGTTTTGGTTCCCCAGGTTTTAAGCAAAATAAGAGTATAAATTGGCACTATTTATTCCCAAGAAAATGAAAAAATCTGGTAGAGTGTAAAATAACATGGTAATTGGTTCACATTCTACTCTTATCATTTTAAAAAGAGAAAGAAAAGTTAAGAGTTTAATTTAGAAAGTTAACATTCATGCACTTTACAGAGAACACATTAAATCTTTCATTAGAATTTTAAAGCTTGAATGAACAGGCAACTACACGTTTTCCTCAAATCAAAATAGCATCAGTATTTCAAATGTAATAGAGGATAACTTGTATGAGAAGCAAGGGAAGATCTAGACTTGATACAGGCATATTATCTTCCATTAGCCAAAATTTGCTTAAAAGATTTTACCCTTTCCACCCCAATTATTACATTAAATATAAATATTTTTCTTCTTCTTTACTTTAGAAATAAAACAGAGGAAGGATAGGGATAGAGGTTTCAAATGCTTTTTCTTAAAAAAAAAATCGGAGGGAGAATAAAGATAAAGAAATGGAATCAAACAAGAAATTTGAGACAAGATTGCAAGTGTGAGTGTTCATAAAGAGAGAGGGGAGGGGGAGGAGCTTAAAATTCTACTGTCCTTCAACTGCATATACAATATGACTGAGGACTGAACAATTGAGATTTGATGTTGAAGATACGTTTGAATTGTTCTAAAGATAAAACCTACAACTTTGAGTTAAATGCTGGCACGCAAAACGTTTTCTGTACAAAATCAGAGTTTTTCCACCAATTCCACTGTTTGCTAAATTTTAAGCAACATTAGCATGGAAAGTGCAAAGGCAGTGATGATAAGTTGTTGACATTTTAGCTAGTGCAAAATCATGAGCTAAACATAATTTTTGGGCATTGAAGCATTATGCTATTAGACTTGTAAGATCATTCAATTCATTAGACCAAAGAGGGAAGAAGAAGGAAAGAAAAACAATTTTGATGCCGAATGGTCACTTGAAAGAAGAATTATGGCCGGTGGCTATTACAGAATTTTTTTTAACTGTTTCCTTCATAGGTAAGGGTTTAAAGGTCTGGATCAACTTTTTAACTAAATACTACAATACCAATAATTTTTATCACAGTTGACACTGCATAATAAGTTAATTTCAATACAGAATATTTGTCGTATTATTTGAAAGGATGCAAAATTCTATTTCCAGCTTATTCTTCTACATTTTTTTTTTCTTTTTTTTATAAACCGAACATACAACCTGCTCAACAGTTTAAACAATATTCTCATGATCTGCCTGCTATATTTTTGAGTTTCGAATGATCTTCTACAAGAATGAAATATAACTCATTACAAACCAATATGTACATTTAATAGGCCACAAGGAGAAAGGATCTTACCTAATTTGAGAAATTGAGGTACACCCAACATGCCCATGATACAAATACTTGAAAGATCACTTGACTGAAAGAGCGACAATACGAGTTAGAAGTTCTCATAGGGACCAAATCAGCCTGCTTCTAGAATTAGCTAGTCTTTGGCCAGTTTTCATGACAATTTCTCTTCTTTCATTCTTTCTTCATTTCCACAATTTATTGACACTGAGCCAAAATAAAAACAGTCAGGACAAATCAACAGGAAAATAGTTTTGCCTCTCACTTTGCCCAGATACAAGGCCCGGTTGAAAAGTAACGTCTCTCTGCTCATAACTTGAGAACAACTGAAGAATCTGGCAAAAACTAAAGATATTCTGAAAGTAAATACCTTTCTATCCGTTTATCAGTTTGCCTGGTCCAAGTTCTTTTTCTACTAATTTTTACTTGTAGGTCATAGAAGAACCTGATATTTCACAAAACTAAACAGAAATGTCTCATTTTCCAAATCCTTTCAAGTGATTTCAGGAGATTTAATTACACTAAATTAATCTTTTGATGTTTGTGGCTGAGGTAATCGAGGCCTTGGAAGAGAACTTCCTTAGAGCTTTAAAAGAAAGACTTACTAACACACAAAAACAGTAGTAAAAGCTCAAGCATTTTTTTTTCACGATAGCCATTTTCTACACCAACTTCTGATCATTTTAACTTAAATGACTGGCAAAAAGACAAGCTATGTGACATAATTTTTCGATGGGAAAATTAGAGTTTGGATGCTGGAAGGATTCATGGGTAGAAAGACCTGTCATTTGACTTAAGGAACATTAAGCTATTGTTGCGACTTGAGATTTGATAGCTAGCTCAACAAAAATGCTATATTTTAAGAGGGAAAACAAACTTTAAAAGGATGCTTAAATCATCATATTATCAGAGCAATATCAAAGGATACCTAAGGCATGTGTTAGTTATGTTGCCAAAGAAGAAAAACGAAGGGAAATATCGACCAACAATAAAAAAGAATAACTGTGTTCAGTTAATGGTCAGTTTGGCCTGGCTGAGCAAATTCTGACCTTTGGGCACCTTTGATGAATTCATGGGAGTAGAAAACACAAAAATTAAACTACTTGTATGATACAACGTAAGAAATTTAGGTCAAGCATGAGTGGAGTCATACTGGCTCTTTTTTATACACAGTGATTATGTAGATCCTCTCCCCATCTGGAGAAATACTGGGCTAAATAAACATAGATGCCAACAAGAGAGAGAAACAAAGCTAGCACCAAATTGATGGACCATCTTTTGATGAAATAAAGAAGGTAGCAAATCTTCCCTAATTAATGTATTAAAAATCAACCGACTAATTTTGGGCTAGCTCAGGGTAAATTTAAACTCTGCCCAAATTTCAATTGTAATTCATGCATACATATAAAAAAAGATCCTTTGTACCTTATGACATCGAATTAGCTTTGATACAATAAAGAATTTGTGCAACTAGTACATAAGATTTGAAATTCTATAGCTGAGAAATTATGACATGCTGATATCATTTTCCATCCTTGTGTACTGAACAACAGAAAACAGATTATGGGCGGGGGAATTTTTGTGTCCTTAGGTAGAGATTGATCAAAAAACCATTTGTGGATGGGACAGGGTTTTTGGGAGGTTCATTACGCTATGGACCAAAGTATGCAAAGGATTTGCAGCAAGATGACCCCAATAGATAAGTATCCTTTCAAAAAAATTTAAACATAAAACCTGCAAAAAACTAAAAGGGCGAATTCGAATGATGTTCATGTGAGAGAGCTAGAACAGGATTTATCATTGGAGTGACTCAAAAAATGTTTCTTTCACTTTCTTAAATTTGATTTTTATAAAGTAGGAATTTTTCGTTTTTTCGGAGGAATTTCAGAATTTTCCTACATCCTATCGAAGATATTTACTAAAAATCACATGCAAATATTTTGGAATCCCAAATTGAGGAAATTGAAAATGAGTAAAATAAATTAGAGAAGATGCGATCAAGATATACTATACAATCTCATAATTTTAAGATTGATATTCTGCGAATAAAAAAGTTGCTCATTTAACTTCAAGACTCCAAAACTTTTTCAGGAGGGGAACAGGTGATGATTGTGTTTCTGCGGATCTATGATGGAATAAAGTAGGTTCCATAAATACACAGAAAGATAAAAAATGGTAACCACTGCTTCAATGATTTCAACGATTAAAAGCCTAACACTATAGAAGAGAACTAATCCTCCCATGAAAAAATTGACAAAAAGTAATTAGTAAAATTGCTATTATTTAACAGCTGTGCGAATTTTAATTATCATTCTTCTTCAGTCTGAATTGTTCAAGCAGTAAGCATACGTTAGGACTGATTCATATCATTTATTTGTAAAGGGCACATTTTATGAACAATACATGGTCTACAAGGTGCCAGTTGACTTGGTTTGAACCGATCTGTATCCAATACATTGTTACAAAACTTTATATTGGCGTTTTATTTTTTTTCCAGCAGCAAATGAAATCTGTCTGAGATCTCAAAAATGTTGACTGATTTATCAAGACCTACTGATTGAAAGTACTATTTGAAGATTACTAGGGATGATAAGTCAGACTATCAGTTGTAGAAAGTAAAGACAGATAACAGTAATTCTGAAACAATGCAATGAATGCCATGGCAAGAACCGATCAAATTAGCATGAGTTACAGGTTGAAATTAAATGACTACACCAATTGATAAAGTTTAATTTTGAACCGATGAGAGGATTTTTGAAAACTTTCCAATTCAATGAGAACTATAACTAGAAAAATATTTAAAAAATCAGAAAAATACCTATGCATCACACTGCAAACACTTGTCCATCAAAAAACTTTGTTTCAGCAAAGGTGACTGGTGTCAAAGAAAAGGTAAATGAGAAAAAGAATAGGCGAGAAATAAAATAAAGAAAACACATAAGCAGTAAATTTAAAAGAGCACATGTTTACTATTATAATGATAATTGAAAGTCTGAAGAAAATCTAAATTTTTCAATGATACATATGTACTTGGAAAGTATCAAGCAATTTGGGCGCATAACTTCATGGCACAAAACTTTTGAAAGAGCCAAGAAATAATGAAGATCTATGAAATTCATAGACCTTCACAATTTCTTCATTCATGTACAATTATGAATAACTAGTATAAATTCCAATGTCTCAAAACTTTATCACCAGTTAGCTGGGATAGAAAATGTCCTCTCCTATCTATTCGGCGACTGAATTTTAAAATTGAAGCATTTAATTGTCTGATAAAAAACTAGATTTGAATTTTGAGCAGGACATTTCCTGTCATCCTGACCTTTTGAACTAGAAAACTAATTCACTCTATATTATTTGATATCATTGGCAACTACTATTGTCTCAAGAAGATTTTGTCATGGTGTAGTGACCTTTAAAGCTCCAGAAATATGGAAGGATAATTATTTACAAGGCCTAATGTTGCAAGGTGAAATAAAAATTTACCCATTTGGAAATTTGTTTAAATTTAAGTAAAACACCTCAAGTTTTTCTTTTCCTTGCAAAGATCTAGCGAGGGAAGTACAAATTATTCAAGTAGCAAAATCAGTTCTTGTTTCTTCACCGATGAATTGATTCATTCATAAAATCTGAATTGAACTCTAGTTCCTGTGCAACTCGCGGTTAACTTATTTATCGAGTGATGGTTCTGATTCAATCATTTGTTCCAGTTGAAGCCAATGCCCATAATTGCTGGATGAGTCACAAAAATTTGTATGACAATTGATGATGAGACAGTTAAAAGTATTAGAAGAGCGGCAATGATGATGCATTAGGTATAGGTGTACGAGTACTATGATATAATGAAATAATACCCAAAATGTATTGAAAATCCTAACAGTAAAAGTTCTCATCAAAAACAAGAGTTACAAAACATCGGAGACGTTAATTTTCAAAAGAGAATTGCTGTTGAAAATTAGGTCACATAGTCCGATACCTATACGCTTAAAAAATGTTTATCTGCACAGAGGTACTGCGGCAAATGAACTTCTTTTACGTAAATGCATTCAATGTATGACAAATTGAAATTTTTTGGTATTGAAATAATTCCGGATCTTTTATTACAAAAAAAAAAGCTGAAATTTTTGCTTTATGCTCTTTGTTATTTCAAGAAAAGAGAGACTACATAAATATTGAAAGAAAAGCTGAAAATCGACGATGAAGTAGATAAAATAAGCAAGAAAGAGGATAATATGATCGTCATTACATATCTCTACATGGATTAGAAAAAAGCTAGAAAAGATAAATTTTTTGCGACTAGATCTTAAAGAATGAATCCATTTGCATAAGTAACTTACTGAGCTATAAATAAGGAAAAAAGAATGAAAGTATAACTTAAAATTACATGATTTTGGATACAAATCAGTACAAGGAGAGGCGTGGGCTTATGTGTCTCAATAAGATAAACTGCACGATATTAAAATTTCAACACATTGTTTGACCATTTTTTTTCTTTGGAGCATTGAAAACAGAGGTAGAAAGGAGAGGTACATTTGAAGGCAAAAAAAATATAATATGGTAGAAAAAGGGGAAAAATTGAATTTGGTTTCGTTAGTTAACATTAATTTGTGCCTTAGTTCAGATAAAATTCACAGACCTTTTTCAAGAGGTTTTAGAGATGACAATGGTGAATGAGATTTGTCATTTGCGTACATGCACTGATCAGAATAATGATAATTCTTTTAAGATACTTTAAAGGGGTACCCTCTTCATTCGCTCTCGAAGCAACAAGTATAGTACTGCCAACTAGTTGGAAAATTCGCAATGAGCCACACAAGTACAAAATGTCACAGCAATGTTAAAAGAGTAGTTCTGAAAGTAATAATTTTACCAGAGACTAGATGAATCATTTAGGATCTGAATTTATTAGGGGAAATAATCACACAATTACTAGGAGCTCTGCCTTTAAACACTGGAGTGCCTTAGCAAGGTCTCTATATCTAGCTTGGGTCCACAAATAAATTAAAATGACAGTAAGGCTTCTAATATGCACACGTTTATTTCAAAGTTGCCCATGATATTTTAAAAATTGTTCTTTTTGCGGCTGCAACACAATATTTGCAGTAAAGCGCTTCTGTGAAGAATGAGTCATACTCACTCACTTTTGGAAAACAGGTTGTGCACACGGTTGAAATATACTCATGTCTCCTTGTAATTTCATGCAATTGTCTCGTTGCCTGTATAGACACAGCCTTTAACCCTTTATAATTTCTGCTATAGACTTGTGGTACAGGCATTAAAACAATTTTTAAAGAGGGGCAACACTAGTTGAAAACGCCACTACGATCACATTATATCATTTGCCATTTGAGTTCCTATCTCAATTTGATGAACCTACAAATGTGTGCATAAAAGTGCCCTAAATGCCATTTAAATTTTATTGATTGCATGAATGCTTGGCATTGTTTAGGAAAACAAATGAAATTAAGTAGAGCTTGAATGCTTGTTAAAATGATTCATTTAATAGCTCATTTGTGAGGGAAACCTTTCTTTTGATTTTCAATATAATTTGGAGCTTGTTTGAATGAATTTTAAAAAAGTACAACTACATGCAAATCTCTTCACTTATTTCAGTTTGAAAACTTAAAGCTGCTGCTATTTTCTGAGCTTAAACAAAAAAGTAAAAGTAGACAACAATCAGAAAACAAAAGAAAAATCAATTAATAAATAAACAACACTATACAGAGGTGAAAAAGAGAGAAAAGAAATTAACGCCTTAGACAATGGTAACTCTATAAAAAGTGTTAGATTAAAAAATATATAACAAAAATAAATAATATATGAACTATCTACAGATTAGACAGGAAAAAAAAACAGGAGTAAAAAGAAGAGAAAATACCAAAATGAAAAAGCAGAGTAACATTTTGGAGATAAAAATGTAAAATGATGATGGGAATACAATGGATGATGGTTAAAAATCTGTACGTGAAATTCAGCTTATGCGAATAATACTAGCGATCAGCAATTTAATATAATAAGACTGTTAGCAACTAATCTTATACTTGTTAGCATTACATTGAGAATGGGAATAAAAGAATTGATCAGACGTTGATAGAATAGCTCTACCGGCTGGAAATTGCAATAATTTTTCTGTGCTTTATCAACACCAAGCACAGACTGGGCGACAATGAATAGACAATGCAAGACCAAAATTATGATTTCGGTAAAGAAATTCCAGAGAAAAGAGAAAGTGACAAGGAGAATTATATACAAGATTAAATGTAATATAAACATTATACATACAAACGACATGTATGCATTTAAGTATGAATACATTGAAATATTCGTATAGGTGCGTGCATAGTTAACAAAATATCTGTACATACAAATATGCTCCTGCATTCATATACAAACAAATATACATAAATATACTTACGAAAGATATTTAGTGGGAAGAGGCCTGGGCCTGGGGATAATCACAATAGCTCGTATTGGCGAAGATGCATACGCTGAATTATGTCGCGACAATCATTAAACACTCTACGAATGTTTTCAGTGTCTACAGCACAAGTAAAATGAGGGTAGCAATAGTGTTTTCCGTCTCCACTAGCTGTGCTGATGCGCTATAATAAAAGAAAGAGACATTTCATTTAGATGGAAAAGATAGAAAATAAGAGAGGTTAGTTTGTACTTTATCGCATGCTCCAGACAAGGTTGGCTCATTGGTGGAGTTGCCAACCAAATTAGATTGTGTATGTCTGACAGGGGCTTGAGAACTCTAAACTTGTACTTCTAGTAAACTTCAATACCGGAGCAATGACTTTGATTTTCATGAAAATAACTGCTGTGCCAAGAAGGTAACGCTTTTTTCTATCACTTTAGATACATTTGTGATGACAAGACTTTTATCTTTTTTTTCATCATAATTTAAATTCTTTCCGTTCATATAATTATAATTTTTTAAAATAAAAACTACCATGCAATTGAGGATCAAGCCGGTGGCGTTCAGTACATTTTGATAGAATTATTTTTATGCTAAAGGTCGATCTGATTTAAAAGTGTGGGAGGGGAAACGTTCACATTTGAACACACAATGCTGAATGAGCCGCTGCACGGAAGAGGAATTATGAGTTCTCCCTCCCAATTGTTAAGTGCATGTACACAGTTTCAAGAGATGAGAGTGCTAGTTCAGTAAACACATTGTACCCTTCTCTTCCCTGCAGTAGTCAGATCTGTTTCGGCAACTTTATGTAATATCAGGTTCCATCAGTGCAGCCCAGCTGAATTCTACATCTTCAAAAGAACGGCACTGGACTCTTGTTTGTCTATCTTTCTCTATTATCTTTCCTGATTCAAAATATTCCTTCCCAACTCTTGCTCCTTTAATTGCACTGTCTACTTGAAAGAAAAGAACTGATGGTTGAGGGCACACTGGAGGAGAGGAGCAACAGGCCCAAGTGTGGAACAGGTAAAGGTAAGACAAAGTAACATGGACCAATTTTTGTGGCTCTGCTACATCGAGAAGAGGGCATTGTTACAAACAAATACTGTACTTTCCACATCAGAGATACTCGTAAATTTTTGGTTCTTGCCTAAAATGAACTTTACATTAATTTGATAGTGTGAACATACAATAAACAAGCCACTGATCTAGTCCTTCGACGTATGATTCTTGGAATGGTATGGAACTTCAGTGCACTAATGAGATGAGATACCAATAGGAATTCATTTCGTAGAGTTTTTCACCCAGATATCTATTTTTTTGTGTCTGCCCCTCTTTAAGAATAAAGTGCCTGTTAAAGAAACCTCAAACACATCAGCGAGGGACCACTAACTCTCCACTCATTTTAAGAAGCCTTGATACACTGACGAAAAGTTCATTAAAGGCTTGAAGTTAAAACATAATGCATGAAATTGCAAAACATACAATTTGTCTGGGTAGGAACAGAGATTTTTGTGACATACACACTATATTCTGTGCTACAAAGGTGCAGGGATTGCTTTGCAAAGCCTTTCCTTGTCTTCTCTAGGTATACTTTTATGAGATACTTCTACAGGATAAAGAGACAGAAAGGAGAGGAAAACTAGAGACTGAAGCAAGATGGATGGCAGAGTGGAGGAACATTGACGATAACATAAGGGACCAAGCCTATCATTTAAAAATATAGAGGCTGATCGAGCTTCCTGAAACATTGGTTAATTATGAAATGTTATGGAGTTACTGAAGCGGAATAGACAGACGCTAGAGGAGAGAGAGAGGATGAGATTTTTGTATGAATTGAATTCATTAGTACCTAACTGCGCGAGGTCCAAGTAGGAAAGCAAAACGACTGGGAAGAAGGACTTTTAATTCTTGTATGTATGCAATAGCATATTAGAGAATGGTGCCTGTGTTTCATCGCAAATATCTTGACTCATACATAAACAAATTGCCTAATGTTTGGCTTTAGGTCTATGACAAACTTTACTTTCACTTAGTTTCATCAAAATGTACCCAGAGCCACTGGTCCCCACTAGTGTAGCAAGGTTCTTCACTTCTAAAAGTTTGGCATTCCCAGAACTGACAGTTTTCCTTTCAATCGTTCACCCCAAGAAACCTACAAGATCAGAGACAGTTTCCATCACCTCGCCTGCAAGCAATAGGTTGATTTGCTCATATTTTCAAGCCAATGATTCAACTTTTCGAAAAGCGCAGGAGACACTTAAGGGATAAGATTTAGGAGGGACGCAAGACCCGACAACAAGTTGAGAGTTACGCAAGGATGAGGAAGTTCTGAAGACTAGTTCTATGACTGTGCCAATGGACACATTTGTGTCTGACCTGGATAGAAAAAACACCCAAAACAAAAAAAATGTCATACCAGGAACTCATCACGAATGAAGTACTTTGCTCGAATGACTTGCGGCTCTTCACCAGGATCTGGAGTAGCATCTAAAGGTGTCTGATAACGCGTGAACTCAGAGAAATAATCTTCAAGCCGAGATTTCCCAGCCTTAATTTTTTCTGCTAATAAATCTTGTTTATTTAAAAACAATATAACTGATATCGTTCTTAGCCATCTGCAAAAAAGAAAAAATCGTAATACTTGCGTCAATGAACAATAAATGACCGGAACCTCTGTGATAAAGAATTTAAGATAAGATTTCTGATGAGCATTTCAAACAATCAAAATAATTGTGAGAGAGGTACGACAACTGATTTCCTCTTCTAAAAAATTCTCACCAGACTAAATCAATAAAAATTAAAAGCTCTTTTAAACGGAGAAATACACAGGAAATGTGCAAACGGCTGTTACAGGATCCTGAAATTGCTTTGATGTAAAGCATACTTAAAGTTAGGTTCACAAGAAATCAGTTCATGAGCATAAAAAAAATCTGTAGAGCTTGCTTTATTCTTTGCATGATTATTCCCATCACACCAAAAAGGGCAAAATACTGACGCATGAAACCAAAGTTACCACTGATCGTCATGATCAGAACGCTCTCTACTTGTAACACGTAATAGTACTCAACAAATAATTCCAGAGAGGATTCCACCTCTATCGCACAGCAGCGCAATGAAAACACACTGCACATAATGAAAACTGGGAATAGTGACCCATTTTGGCCTGGCGCGACTAAAATATGAACAGTCACTTCAACCAGCCTGGCAGTTGCATTTGGGAGTTAACGCAACAAAAAAGTAAGTTTTCCTCTCAATTAATTCTAGGAATCTACCTAAGAATAAGTTACCTGTTATTCCAAATGCTTTTAAACAAGTCCAAGGATTCTCGAAGTCTATTTTGAGTAGGATCTTCACGAAGCACCATATTATAGCTACTACAGGCTGTGACAAATATGATTGCTGTGACATCATTAAAACACTGTATCCACTTCCGCCTTTCATCTCGTTGGCCACCAACATCAAACATACTATAGTAAAGAAAAGAGAGAGAATAAATTACGATACAGAAGAAAGTGAAAAAGTATTATTAATATAAATTCCATTTTTTTACTCTCGTTATTTTACTTTGACTTCTGAATGCAATGAGAGCTAAAAGGAGTTCAAGCTTTTCCATTGAAAAACTCTTCTAGAAAAGATTCTTTGACTTCATTGGTTATTTCATAATATCTACTGTTTGGCTGTTATGGTTGGATTTTATTTTTAGTTCTGGATAATTAGGAGCATTTGATTATAATTAAAATCTTATGCTGACAGTTTTCATATTTATGATAAAAGGCAGTCAGAAATAGAGGGATGCTACTGAGACAAAGGCTGAAAAGTATTTAATTTATACGGCACTATTTCTACCCATGACTTCCTTATGCGAGTAGTTGTGCTGCAACTACTCGCAGGGTGATATGTTTTAGATGTAATTCTAATTTCTGTTTATGGCAACCAAGGTATACACCCTAATTTATTTACTTAGAAGATACAATGAAAGATAGCTATCTAAAAAAACATCCTTAGATGGGTCTAAACAGGACTGTTTTCTTCTGCTACCACTATTGATTATTCAAAAATGGAATGCTGCTGATGGTTTCATTTGAAATCGCCTCGCAAAGGAAAGCAGATCTAACACTGCCAAGTTCAATTAAAGTCAGAATTTTTTGGTCATGATATGCCACATTGCTCTTATTCTAACAATTCAGAGATAAAACATTCTGATGATTTCTACTTTTGGGTGCTGTTTGTTAGCCTGCAGCTTTTAATTCAGTCTGCTTATGCAAACATGTCTGATATCCCAAGAACTACATTTTAGTGAATAGTAAAAACTGTGGAGATCTTAGATTCGGCGTTATAAAAAAGCCCATTGACAAGGGATTGTAGGAAAGGCATACAACTGCCTCTCCTTTAAACCTTCACTGAAAACCAAGTGACTTTAAAAGGATCCAGAACATCATCAAACACTATCCCATGAGTGGCATAAGTCCTGAACTATATTCCGGTTGGATTATTTTTCTAACCCTCAAAAGACACTGAAACCAGAGTAGAACTTCATTTTAGAACTCCGCCGAGACAAGAAAAAATTTGACTTCATACATGTGGCAATACTAACCTTGAAGAATCTTCTTTATCCTTCCATGCTTCCCTTGCATATGGGAGAAAAATTCTCTTACATGTCTCCTCACCACTTATAGACATCCTCATATCCTCTTTATACTATCAGTGAAATAACTACATCTAAATAGTACTATAGGTAACAATTTAATCAGCCCATCTAAATAGTAATAAGGACATAGATACTGTTGTGCTAAGTAAGAACGCTGTATGAACATTCGAGAGTTGCCAAAATTCCCTCGTTAAACATGAATTTAAGAGGAAAATAATGCATATTTTTCCTTGAAATTTTCAGATATTTTAGATTAAATTAAGCAAAGAATTGTCTGAAAAATTTGCAGAAAAATATTCACAATTACACCACAAAATTGATTTTTTAGGCAAGGAAATGTGGCAACGTCAGAAAGCTCATACAGCATTCTTCCTCAGCACGGCAGGACAGAAAGATAAATGTACCCTAGACATTTTCACTAGAGTCGATATAATTGACACATTTATCTAGAGTGAAATCCTTACAAAGAGAGTACGCTGAATTTTCCATTGCAGATAGAAGAGACCAAAAATTTTTGACAAGAACTGTTCAAGCAGAAATTGAATTAATAAAGACTCTAAAAGATACATTGATCTGAACATAATTGATAGGAGCTGAAATTAACCTGATATTAAAAGGATCTTTTAAAAATGGAGAGGAATACTCACTGGAAATTGACTTTTTCCACCTGAAATCTTGTTTCGAAGATACCAGATGTAAGGACACGACACCTAAGAATATCCTGCTCTGAAGGCGTATAGTTAGGTTCTTTAATTACATGAACTCTGTCCAGAAAACTACGGAAAGAAGCAAATACATGAAGGTGAAAATGTATCAAAATAAAATCGCACCAATAAAAGACAACACAATTTTTTGAACATATTCTCCTGACAGGCTGGGATACCAATGAGATCCAATGACAAATACTTCTGAAATACAGTTTGTCAGACCTACTGATGGGGAAAAAAAAGGAGGAACTAGTTGTGAGAAGGCTCTAAAAAAATATCATTGAGATAACTATGAAAATACAGATTTGTAGAAGTTGAAAATTTCATCCTCCCTCATTTTTTTTAAAGAACACAACAGGAAATTCCCCACAAAATTTTCAGACAGATTTGTCTTCCGATGTTTTTTCTGGAAGGGACAAAGAAAAATCAAACAAAATTTCGTACGATAATGATGATTAGTTGTTCTTCAATACGAGGTGTCCCAGGCCGCCCGTACCACGCTCTTTTCTCAGTTTTTTTAAGATGGACGAAGTCGGGGCAACAGGGAATAATAAGGTATCAATGCAACTCCAAATTTCATCTTCTTGAAGTCCCGTGTGGGCTAAAAGGGGGGCTCTGTCTTTCAAGAGCACAAAATTATCGACATAGTCCTTTACACACTTGACTATACCATCGGGCTCATACTTAATGATGCAGTATTGCATTTTTACAAACTAATCCTGTAATTTTAACGTAGAGCAGCACCTTGATACAACCTTAGGTGGTCTCAAGGTGATTGCTGGAAAAATGAATTAAGGAAAGGGATGTCTCCCAGCCTTTCAAAATTTCGCTCCTTGTGCATCCATTATGTATATTTAACCTTCCCAAAAGTTTTGGCCACGCTCAGGATTTCTTGCGCAACTCCTCAGCCATGTTGACTCATGACACAATATTTTTATTTGACAAAAAATCGGTACGAAACCGCTTATCCTCCTCTTCTGGCAAACTTCCAAAAACAGAAATTCAACCCATTTGACTCTATGTATCACATGTTACAGTTGATTGTAAAACTTTGTACAAATGCCTTCCAGGGAGTGAGGCTTCGAATGAGCCAGGTATCAGAAAAAGGGATCTTACGCATAGGTCCCCTCTTTCTAGCAATGTATTCAATCGTTGAGCCACACTGAGCTTGTGCATATTATCAATCACAAATCAAGTTTGAGATGAACGAAACATAACGTAAAGCTTAGATACCCAAAGTAACATTGAATTCAACAAATTATTTTACTTACTACTTAGCGCAGTCTATTAGTTGGTATTCATTGGATCGCTCAAAGCAGGCTTGGACCCCTCGATCTTTCCAAAGAATTTCAGTATATTCATAAAATTTCTGGGGACAGAAAACAAAATATTAGTATTCTTTCCATCTATTATTCTGGGCATCTTGGCATTGTTAACTTTTATTTAGGATCATTCTCCTGTTCTTGTTTGGGGAGAAACATTAACAGTTGTTACAAAAGAAAGCATTACTTATTACATAAGAGACAGTTCAAAGAGAAAGGAAACTTAGTGCAAAAAAATTTGAAATAGAGATGTTAGTGCTACAGCTTAGAGGAGTGTTTTACAAATATTTTGGCAAAGGAAAAAAACCTCCAAAAAAAGTCACACCAAACCAAAGTTTCCACATAAAAATGAAATTTATCAAATTTCATACACCTGCAACTTTTTAATTGGCAGATTTCAATGTAACTCCTTTGAACCAACAATGAAACAAACCACCCGCAACACAATCTTTGGGATACTGGAGAATTTTTGGTCAAACACTTGAAGTCCTATTTTGCAACCCAACTTGACAAAAATTATTTTCTTTGAAAATTTGACACTACAGTATCTTCTCCCATGAATTGTCACAAATCAGGAATCCCATTATCAACACAAGGAATGAGAGCTCCTTCGGTATTGACTTTTTTTTTTTCTTCTGACGTTTGTGCGGGGAATTTGATGGTGCAGTTGCCTTACTGATTGGTTGGAACTACAAAGTTGTACAAAACAGAATAACTCTCTTGAGTTGAAAACTTGTGCTCTGATGAGCTTTTTCTCAATATAGGTACCTAATGAGAATTTTAGTTCTATACTGAAATTTAATGCACGTTGGGGAACTCATCAATACTCTGTTAAATACTTTTCCTTCCTTACAAGTATATCAAGCATCAAAACACAATGCCAATGCCAAGGATCTACTTTATTAATATCCATGCAACGCACAATTTTACTTCATGTTGTGACATTCTGTGTTTGGATACGTTTCCTCAGATACGAACTGATCCAATAGATTATCATCACTCCAAGTTAGAGCGGAAAAAAAGAGACAACAAAAAAACAGGTGGCTTAAAATTTTAAAAAAAATTACTTACGGGAGGGTAATTAAAATTGTGCTGCGAAGCTACATCTTGGATGTAGTCCACTAGACTTTGATTATCAGGATTTTCTAGGGGTATTGGTGGAGTTAGCGTGCTCATGGCACCAGTAATTGTCTGAAACAAACAATCATAGAAAAAAGTTGTTTTAATTTTCTATAAAAATAATATATATGTATTAATGACAAGCCCACGTTTTTCTTTCAAACTTAAGGTCGTCAAAACGTTCCTGAGAAAACTAATTGTTATTCCGCAATCTTTCCAAAGTAATAGCTAAATGATAACAAAACAGATTAGAACAGCAGTACGTAATGGTACGCAGCAAAATGCAGAGGTGAAACTCGGGCAAACTACCTACTCCATGATAGGGGAAATAAGAACCTTCCCCTTCAAGCTTAGAGCTCGAAAATATCCTCTGAAAATTTCCTGCAAAAACGTCCGATCATAGTTTATTTTTTTCAAAAAAAGATGAGGTGGATACTTTGAAACACCAAAACCGAGCAGTGGCGTGGCGTACTTTACGATACATAGATTGGTTTGCTATTTAAACCTATAGCAAATTATCGATTAACAGGGTGTTCGCAACGAACACCTCAATAATCGATCCTTCACCATAGTTTCAAATGGGGAAATATCGATAATCGACCATTCACGCCTCGCCACTGAGACCGAGATTCGTGTTTTCAAACTGATATACATCCTTTCAATGGTTAAAGTGCCAAACTACATAATCATTGCGGTGTTTCAAAATCTCTGCTCCTATTATATTTTTTCAAAGAGAAGTACGTCATCTTTTTGGAATATTCTGCTGATAAAGAATAAAAATCAAAGAAGTTTTGAAGAAATTAGACTAGATTTCCAAAGAAAAAATAAGGTGCGTCAGGAAGTCTGCAACGAGATACGTGGATTCACACTTTGACCATCAATTCGCTTATCACAGCCGACTTCTACGGTTCTACATGCCGAAATCGTTTCTTTCCGTGCAAGCCGTAACAACGGCCTTGACTACGGAGAAAATCAGGATCCTTCCGGATACCATCCCATTTTTTGGCTGATTTCTGTTCGCGGAATTTTAAAGCTTTTCATGATACTTACAACTCGTTTTATGACCTCAGTTTTAGCACACGGCGCACAGGGGATCCAGTCAAAAGGAGAGGTCGAACACTATTAGGAAACTTCAAAAGCTTTTAACTCCGATTATGCAAAACTTTGAGGTTCTAAAAGTGGTTCCATTGGTTGCCTCGTGAAATTTTCTTCTAAATGCACCCCTTAAAATTTAAAATGTGACGAAATAAACGTTATTCTGTCAAAAATTTCACGTCCGACCTCTCTAATTGACCCCTCCGATCCACAGTGCGGCGTGGCGGGTGAATTACACATCACGCGGCGCGCCTTACGCGATTTTTATTTCCGTTTTTGTCAGCAAGTCAACCGGTGGTTGACTGGCTCAAATTTTTAGACTCTATGTACTCTCACAAATTTTCTATGTCTACGATCGATCATACATACACAGCGTACCTCCATTCCACGGTTGCAAATTTGACTCAAACAATTTAATTTTTACACGAAGATGAAAGGGTAATATCGCTTTTCAAAATTGTGTTGATTTTTGCATGTAACACCACGAGAGTGATCGGTGGAAAAATGAAACAACAAGGATTATATATCAAAGAAACAAAAAAATAACTTGTTCCCAAGCGGGAATAGGTGACTTTAACACCATGGCAGTTCGCCTTCAATTTTTAGTGTAGGCAACACGTGCTCACGTGGTCTAATAGTGGTATCACCGTAAATATCACGCGTATGTATTGGAACACACACAGGCGCGAAGAAATTACTTGAACGCTTTTTTAGCGTGCATTTCTAATTCTAGGCAATAGGAACTCGCACATACATTATTTGGAAGAATAATGCATCGCCGCAAGGTGGATTGTAAGCTTACGTTTGTGTGGCCTTCATAAATTGGCAAGGCTAAAAAATTACATTCCAACAGTATGATTGAAAACATGAGTATTTTAAGCACTAAATTAAGAAATGTGTGTATTCAAGGAAGGATTAGTTGAAAAGAAATGCTATGAAAAATACAAATGAAAAAATGAATACTTTTTTTTCCTTTCGCAATTTCACCACCGATAGCTTAACATATGACGGATCGAAAAACTTACGCCTATCCTGAGGGAAAGTTAAGAATGTCGAGATCGAAAGGACAGGGTTCCTCGAAGGGGCACCGAGTGATAACGGCTAATGCCAAATTGTATTTAAAAATTTACAGCAGAAAATACCGAAACAGGTTTCAACAGGTTCAACAGGTGGTTGCCGCCTCTGGAGGGAGGGGGTGGTTTGGAAATAGTGGGTAGAAGAGGATGTGAAAATTTCCTAAAAATGATAAACATTCTGCAAAGATCTTTATTGCGGATTTCCTTTACAGGAGAAAAAATGCGGCAGAGATATTAACATTTCCTAAAAATGATACGACATCCTGCAATAACCTTTTTTGCGGATTTCCTCTGAGAAGAGAAAATGTGCCAGAGGTGCACAAAATGTTGGGGCAGTTTTCCAAAGGGATGACCTCATATTCCCTCTTTTACTTCGGCTCTATGCTTAGAACACACGGAGAAAAAAACTTCGTGCGTGGGACCCGAAGTTTAGGTCATATGGATCACTGAAGTTTTCAGATTGAGCATCTGAACACTTAACGTCCGGCTGCTGAGGTTTGGATCACACATCAGAAACTTCAGTTCTTACATCTGGAGTACTTCGGTTTTCACATCCGAAAAACTTCGGTTCTCACATCCGAAAAACTTCGGTTCTTACATCTGAAGTACTTCAGATGTAAGAACTGAAGTTACAGATGTGTGATCCGAACCTCGACAGCTAGACCTAAAGTCAATCTGAAAACTTCTGAGATCCATATGACCTAAACTTCGGGTCCCACGCACGAGGTTTTTTTTCTCCGTGTAAGAGGGAGAAATCGCTCATGTTACCGGAAATTCAAGCGTTTCACTGTAAAATCGCACATTGGGCAGTGAGGTAAAAACGTCGTATCCCGGCAAACGGTCAGCGCTTGGGAATTTTCTGCGCCCCTTTGATTGACGCTCCCCTCACGTAAGGGCATATCTCGATTTCCACGTGAGCCCTATTCTCCGGATGACCCTATTTTCCGAGGCTCATGTGGGGATGGAGATACGCCCTCTAGTCGGACGAAATTCGAATGCAATTTTTGGATATTTTTGTGAAGGGTAGGGATTCGATCGACATGAATCGATCGGAAAGTTGGAACGTGAACCGATCGCCGTGATTCGATCGGCAACCGTGAATCGATTAGCAAATCCGTGAATCCATCGACTAACCCGTGAATCGATCAGTACACGTTTTAACTTTTCAATCGATTTATGTCGATCGAAACGACACCGGTTTTTTAATAATTTGTCGATTGAATCGGTGTCGTTCGAATCATGTCGATTTTTCCATCGATGAACTGCAAATCATAGAGAGAAAAAAGGAGGTGTTTGCATTTCGGGCATCTTGGATTTTTTTTGATGACGTAGGTCGGTACAGCGACTTTTATCATCGATTTTCTTGGAAATGGTGTAATTTAAGGAAAAAAGTCATTCTATAAAAAGTGCTTGAAATTATATCATGAGTTGATTTAAGCAAAAAAATGGGACATTATGGTCCGTTTTTCATACTTCGAATTCCGGATTTCGCTGGCCAGGTTGTACCGACCTACGCCACAGGGTAAACAAACCTCAAGATGCACACACCCCCTTTTTTTTCTCTATGACTGCAAATAATGTGCTGAGGCTTTGCTAGCCAAGAGAGGCGATCTGGAAGAGCTAGTAAGGTGTTATTTCTTAGCCAGTAGCGTGGCGTGAATTGCGATGTATCGATTGTTATGCCATTTAACCCTATCGTAAAGAATCGATTGTTAAGGTGTTCGCTGCGAACACCCTATTTATAGATCCTTTCCCATATGTTTAAATGACAGAGCAATCGATATATCGCAATTCACGCCACGCCACTGTTCTTAGCGGAGCCACGCGGCGGAGAAAGGCCGATACAATTGGGCGACAGTGACGGCGGAGGCTCGAAAAAGCAAAAGCGGGTGCCGGGTGCCTACTCTAGAGCTGAATTATAAACGATTAACAGGATTACAGGTGCTTTGAAAGAGCAACGCAATAAGCGCATGCCATTTACAAATTGGGAGCCGTGGCTTCTCTCGCCCGGCCGGAATATTGCGAAATCTCGTGATCACAACTCTCTTGAGGACAATAATGAATCAGGATCTTAAAATCCGTCAGGCTCACGAATACCAACACCGCGCCAGCGCCGCCCGAGCAGATCGCTTCGTCTGCTTTTTGCCCGCCGCGCGCTCGCTCGAATGGGACCTTTCCCCTTCCAGGTGGATCTTCACCTTTCGCGCTCACTGAAAAAATAGCTGAGCACGTTGTTCCAGTATGTGAAGCAAAACAAATATTTTACTTGAAAAACATTTTGTGGCTCGATTATTTTTCCATTGAAGAAAAACATCTGCAACCGAAATTTGTAATTCAACTGATTTCTTTCTCCTTTATTTTCAAAGTAATGTAGGTAACTAAGTCATCGATGACCAAGGAATCTGCCCCTAGTGAAGTCCATAGGTGGAACTAGGAATTTTTTGTGGGGGGGGGGGGCACAGAAGGATATAGAACTTGGGCTAAGGGGGGTCCGGGGGGACTTTCCCGGCTGCCGAGGGGGCCCCGGAAAATTTTTGAAAATTGGAACGTCTTGGGAGCAATTTAAAGCCATTCGGGCTCACTCATAGCCACTATTTGTACCAAATATTATCTTTTGACATTAGGAAATGTAACCGCGTAAGATAGAGCCTCAGCGACTAAAAACTGAGCTGACAACACCAATGTTTGATGTTTGGAGGAGTGTTTTACAAACAAATTGGCCTAGAAAATGCAAAAAAATAATAATCATAAAAAAATAAAATGAGAAAAAGTCTACTTGAAGAACTAGGTACTGATGACTTATTCTTTAAGAGTCCGTCAGAAACTCCAATTCCGACTTTCCAATCCTATGTACGGACAGTCGCGCTCCTGAAAAATTTGCCGAGGCAGTTTTTTCTCGTGAATGATCACCATCAATGTCGAAGAAATTGAAATCGGACGAAATTGGAAACAGTACATTTAAACTTATTTTAAGGCCACACTCAAGCTTCAAAAATAAGTAAAGTAATGATAAGTTTATAGTAACTAAAGAAGACTTACCAAAATTGCATCTCTAATATTTTTTTTAATATCCTCTATTTTTTGTTTTTTCTCTCTGAAACAGGAAATGAAACAAATAAAATTAGTTGCGAAGACAGGTAGACAGACTAAATAGATATTTTACGACCGCAATGTTTTTTTCGGATTGTAGATTGCGATCTTTGGTGCGTGGAGAAAAAAGTCGTGACGGTGTTGAGTTCCAAAGAAGGGGTGATGGCTTTAGACCCTCTTCTCTTTACTTTGCATTTTGTTGTGACCAGAAATTGATGAAACGTGTGAAAATATTCCTACAACCAAACTTCAAGTCTTTTTGTTTATTGGTGACGTCCGCCGCACCTAGGATACGTCTGGATACGTCCGACCTTCTCACCCTCTCCCACTCAACTTTCAGGTTATTTTTGAACTTACATCCCCTTAAAATTGCTTTAACGGGCGAAAAAGGTTAACTTCGACCTAACAAATCGATCTTCTGGGTACACGCCTTTCAATTCCAAGTGCTTACTCTGTCTACAGGGTCTAATCTAACAATAAGGAATCGTATGTAGCTTTCATTGTCAGTCTAGATTCAGATGTTGCCGCAGGGACTTAAAATTATCCGCGGGTTTTTTCAGTGATTTTGGCCCAAAAACGTTACAGCTCTACGGCGCTAACTTCCATAGGTTAAAAACATTTTTTTCCCCAGCGATGATGTTTGCCAAAATAACTTCTCTAAGGTAAAATGTATTCATTTTTAACTAATAATAATATTTCCATCTAATATTTGACAAGTGTTTTACTTACTGAGACTTCGAGATACAGCCTCTACGAATACTTTTTTTTGGTTTTTTTTAGTTTCAAATTGTCCTCGATTTTCAATTAATCGCGATTTTCCATTTTCCGCGATTTTCCATTAATCGCGATTTCCATTATCCACAATTTTCCATCATCCGCGATTTTCCATTACCTACAGTTTTCTATCCACAATTTTCCATCATCCGCGATTTTCCATTACCTACAGTTTTCTATCATCCACGGTTTTCCATTATCCGCGATTTTTCATTATCCGCGATAGCTCGATCCCGATCACCGCGGATAGAGACTGTGCTGTATATTTTAAACGAGCGTTCGAGGCAGTTTATGTTTTCGGCTTGCAAATGAAGAATATTGAAAAGGCCTTGTTTACCGCCGTGCTAAGGAAAAAGGCCGTGCGAACATTCTAGAGTTGTCAAATCTCCTCCCAGAAATGTTTATTTTTAGGGAGAGTTACGAATGTTTTAACTTTTAATTTAAAACTTTCACAGAATTTAAAATTGATCGGGACAGAGTTGCCACAGAATTAAGAAAACGAAATTCCCTGATTTTTCTGACACATTCTGGTGAAATTCCCTGACAATTGAAGATATGCCAGATTGCTGACAAGACAGTGTTAGAAATAGTTTTCAGGCAAAATGTGTTGTTTGAAACGTCGAACCCATTCTACACAGCAAATAAAGGTGTCCCAACAATTTTTCCCTGAGCAATTCCCGGTTTTCCCTGACAGTGGCAACCCTGTCGAAAATAAAATTCTCTGAAAAATTCGAGGAAAATGAATGACAGATTACCCTGGAAAATCATTTGTATCTAAGGAAATTTGGCAACGTCTAAGGGCTCATACGGCGTTCCTCCTCAGCGCGGCAGTTGAGGTGACAGAACTGGGTGTTCCAACTATGAGCAAGAGGCATAATCGGCCTGGGTTGTCCGGATACAGCCGTTAGGCGTGCACTTAATCGATTTTGGAGGATGTATACGATACGGGGACTCGGTTTTTTTACGGTCGCCGACATCTTCGCCGTCGTCAAAGGAAGTAGCGCTGCTTCATAATCACGCTCTGCGCCGACATCCTCATTTTCGGCATCAAGTGACTTCGTGAGTCGAACCCCTCTTCGACCACGTTTCGCGGGATTTGACAGAAAATTAACTCGCCTCTATTTCAATGGAGATGTTGCATGTGTGAGGACTTAGCGATTTGACTGTTGATTCCTATGTAAAAGTTCGCGAGAAACACGATGGTGCCACTGGTGTTCTCTGAAATCAACTCCCAAGCTCAAAAAAAGCTCTCAAGTTGAGGCAGAAATGGAGAGGATATCCCACGATATCCTGAGAGTCCACCTCTACATCAAGACAATAACTCTGCATGCAAAGATAGGGAGCGAATACATTGACAGGGCTGCCACATAATTTGGGGACTCCAAAACTGAAAACACGGCAACCCTGCTAATGTTTTTGCTCCCTATCTTTGCATAGAGTTTGTCTTGATGTAGACGTGGACTCTCAGGATAGCGTGGGATATCCCCTCCATATTGGCCTTAACTTGAGAGCTTTTTTTGAGCTTGGGAGTTGATATCAGAGAAAACCAGTGGCACCATCGTGTTTCTCGCGAACTTTTACATGAGAATCAATAGTTAAATCGCAAATTCCTCACACATGCAACATCTCCATTCTGCATTTTTCTGCTAAGATCATGGCTCTAAGACAGGAGTGCAGGAGCTTCTTCGCGGTTGCGTGAAAAGAGGAAACCTCGCGAAAAAGGGTAAAACGCGGAACCCCCGCACAAACTACGGCGTTTTAGCGGTAACAAGTCCGATTTTTTGGGTAAAAGGTTTTTTTCTTACCTTCAGCAGGCAGATTATTGAAATTGATAGACAAAGCTATAGACAAAGCAAGAAAAAAGAGATATGGAGGGATCCTATCAATGGAGACGGATGGTTGCAATGGACGAAGGCGGTAGGTAAAAAACTAATTAACGGCAGCCCACAAGAGACCCTATTATCGTTGGTCCATCATTTTCTCCCGAAGTCTATGGGAGCCACCCATTTCAACCAACAGAATAGCTCAGTACTCCTTACGTCTTTGGCTATTGCTTTGTCTATCGAATTCAATAATGAGCCCGCTGGGGGGGAAGCGATTATGAATTAAGGTTAAAAATGGGGAAAGGTTGCACGGCAGCCATAGTGCTTTCCGTTTTACCTCTCAAAATGTTCAAACTTTTCATTTGACATTAGAAATAAGATGTCACCGCCGAATATTTGTACAAGTAAAGCGTCCCTCCTCACCATTTACGAGTTGGAATGAATCCATTTCTCCATACAATGTTCGTTACGACTCTATTTTTTTCTGCCTTTTTTTAACAGGATCGAGGCGCATTGAAAATTGGGCAATAATGCAGAGATGCTTTCTGGAGGCAGAGAATCAGTAGTAACTTTTCTTGAACTAAACTTTTACATAAGAATCAACAGTCAAATCGCAAATTCCTCACACATGCAACATCTCCATTGAAGCCAACCGCCATACAACATTTCGGCATCTGTGTCTCTTTTGCATTCAGAAATGATGGCATGATCTTGTACAATCATCGATTAGAAACGAAAAAAGAAGCATTCGTGAAAATTACTTACTCTTCACTAAATCCATTAACGTGCAATATCCTCATTTGCTTGACAATTGTGCTTTTGCCGGATTCACCAGCACCTGGAGACAGAAAAGGTAAACAAATGTTTAGACACATTACTTTAGTATTGAGAGATCTGAGAAAAGTTGCGATGAATCGAGCAAGAGGGCCCATAAAGTAGAAATTCTTCTCAGTACAGCGAAAAAACCGATCTGAGGATAAAAATATCAATACTCGAGTTTCAAAGCTGGTCCAATACTCTAAAGATCTATCAAAATTTTAACTCATGATTTGCATCGTTAATGATTTAATAAGGTTCAGAGCGAATCGTAACAAGGACTCTCAACTCCACCGGTAAACTTAATTAGGGTCTTCCTTAAATTCGCGAATTATCGTTCTGTAAGTTTAAAGTGATCGTAAAGCATCTACTTTTGAAATTTTTGGGTGTTGTTTTCGCCGAATGATGTAGAATAAAACTTTCAGTCAGGCCCTTATTTGAGTTTTAGAAAATAGTGGGAAGTTACATCTTGAGAGTTTTCAAAAACACGTTATCATGAGAAAAAAACTTAAGAGGGCTCCAGGGACTTGTTCTGATACGTCAAAAGCCATCACTTCATTTTTTTTTTTTTTTTTTTTTTTTGTGCAGCGATCATTTTGCAATTGTAAAACATTTCCTAGAAAATCTCTGAAAAAATAATCATTCCATTTTCAGGCAGATACAAAACTTTTAACAACATTCAAAATTAGGATGTAAAATTTAACCACGAAATATTTTGAAATTACGATAGTACGAAGTACCATCCTAGTGAAACGATGAGAAATTAAGGAAGAATTAAAACTACCTTCCATCAGGATGCTCATTACGAACAATTTCTATTCCACGCACTATAACTTAAGGTCAGTAAGTAGTGCGATATGATTGAGGTTCTGAGTATTTTCGAAAAAACGTCAAAGGTCCAGCTCTCACGGTCCAACTTTTCCGCGAACTTAATTGATTGAAAAGTTTGACCGTGCGATACTGGCACAAGAAAACAAAAATCAGACAAGAAGTTAAATGGAAAGTTGAATGTGACGTCATACACAACTTTCCAGCCAATTGGATAAGAAGTTTGAAGAAAATGTGTCACAAAATCTTCCACCCGACTACAGAGTCGGCAAAACATATACAGGGTATCCCGAAGTTAAACGCGAATTGTTACAGTGTCGCTTTCGGGGATCGAAATAAGACCGCTTTGCTCGTGTTGCATCGTTATCCCAAAACATTCCTCCCTCCAGAGTTACAACCCCTCGAAATTTGGGCCAAAAACCCTATTTTTCTGGATTGCTGGAAACCCTGAACAAGCTTTCCTCAAAAAATTCAAACAAGACAGGAGATTTGTAACGTCGCAACCCGAATAACATGGTTTAATTAGTAGTTTCACCATCAATATATCGACGATGAAGCTGCAAAAACGCGTAAATCTCGTTTACAGTGTATCAAAAAATATCTGCACTCACTTTATTTCATCGAAGAACAGCGAACTACCAATGTAATTGCTGAATATTTTCTCAGGAAATACTTCACTCAGGCGGAGGTGGATCCAGCAACATAAGCGTACCTAGGTGATTTTGCTAGGGAGGGCTTGGTCCCCCTACCACTGGGGGGTCTGGGGAGTATGGAATACGCCTCATTCCAAAGAGGGGTCCGAGGGGCCTCCTCCGGATACTTTTTGAAATTTTAACCCGGTTTAAACGTATTTTGAGCAGGGCCGGATTCACCTACTTGCCGCCCATGGGCCGCCTATATTTTGCCGCCCCCTTCTCATTCGTTTTGAAACTCGATAAAAACCATCAAATGAACGTGAAAGCGGGGGAGGGGTGCATAAGACGCATTTACTCGTATTGAACACATTTATTGGGAAAGCCCTGTCAACACTACTGGCAAAAATTCACGTAACTTGGCTCGAAAGTTAAGTTCCGTAAACCTATCTCTGTGTGGACAAGGCCATCCATTCATAAGAAATGAACGAAACAATTATGAAAGAACAAACATAAATGGATTGTATTTTGCAAAAAGGAACCACTAGCATTGCAATGTTGCTAAGATTGTGCAACTTCTTTTGTCTTGGAGGAAAAACCCGATTATCCCTTAATAGTTTTTATTTTACTTGCTAAAAACTGTAATTTTAAGACAAAAATTACCATCTAAATTTCATAGTTTTTCACAATTTCTGCAATTTTATTGCAAAGGATGAAGTTGCACAATCTTAGCATCGTTGCAATGCTAGTGGTTCCTTTTTGCAAAATGCAATCCAAATGTGGTTCAATGATTTTAACTTCCGCCGCCGCGCCGCGCAGACCGCACCGTGTTGGACGCAATGCGTGAAGTATTCACGCAGTCTTGTAGGCGCTATCCGTTTCACGCTGGCCGCACGGTGTTTGGCGCAATGCGTGAAGTATTCACGCATTCTTGTAGGCGCTATCCGTTTCACGCTTGCCGCAATGACCGCACTGTGATTGATGCAATGCGTGAAGTATTCGTGCAGTCTTGTAGGCGCTAATATGTGTTACATGCCGATCGCCGCGCCGAGGGCTTCTCCTTTTCATCTCAAGTCCTCGTTATCATTTCTCTCTAAGTCGCGCCGTTCTAGGCCAAATTGCTGGTTTAGTTTCTGTCGTAACTCGACTTATTGAGGGTGCTGTCTCTTGTCGACGGTGAAACTACCAGACTACGGGTAGGGTGTCCACTGGTGCCCTGTCATTAAAATTCCTTGCTTCCTTAGTACCTTTTCCTTGCTTTTTCCTTACTTCCCCGAAAATTCCTTTTTTGGCGATTCTCAAAAATCTTTGCTTCTTCCCAACCATTTCCTCACTTTTTCCTTCCTTCACACGCATTTTTAACCATATTCGGATTGGAAATGTGGAATGATGGAATGATTAAGGAATAAACCGAAAAACACGAGGAACCGAGCCGGGATGTTAATTATGGATTATGTTAGGAAATCGCATACGGCCAAGGCTTCTTTCTGAAGTTGGTTGCAAAAAACTCGAATTTCCGTATCTTTTTACCGAAAATCCGTACCTTTTCCGTACTTCCGTACCGGCCTTCTGAAATCCGTGCTTTTTCGGTGTACCCGTACTTCTTCCATGCAGGAAACACCCTAAGCGTATCTCATTAAAAATCTTCGCTCCCATTTCATTTTTTTGAAAGAGAACAAATCAGTATCATTCCTTGAAGTTTTCACGGAATTTTCTTTGTGAAGAGAAGACGAACCGCAGACGTTTTCACAATTTGACGTAGAGTAGTTTTCCGATTAAAAACAGAGTACAACAGGCAGTCTGCTTAGTCGCAAACCGAGATACGTGCTCAGGTAGTTCCACCATCGATACCCGTTTGACGCCGGCAAAAAATTCATTTTTTACGGGTAAAAGTTTTTTTCTTCCTTTCAGGAGAAAGATTCTTGTTATCTACGGGGGACTAGTTACAGGGTGTCTACTAAAGGAGCCTGGCCAAAAATCAGTACTTTCTCAGTACATTACCAAGAAATTCAGTACCTCCACGACAGAAAAATTCAGTTCTCTTTTTAGTAAGTAAGTAGCTCCTTTGACAAAATTCGAAAAATTTCAAAAATTTGAATTTCTCGCTCAAATTGCGACAAAAAGTACAAAATAATTAAATAAATTCCGGACCTTCTTGTGAAATTCCCGAACTTTTACAGTACTTCCGGACCGCCCTTAAACGATCAGTACTATTTCCAGATCTGTAGACACCCTGAGTTATCAACATTTTGGTGGGAGATGAATTNGGGGGGGGGGGGGGGGCGCTTGAATGGAAATGTGTGAGGGATTTACGATTTGACCGTTGATTCTTTTGTAAAAGTTCGCGAGAAACACGATGGTGCCACTGGTTTTCTTTGAAATTATCTCCCAAGCTCAAAAAAGCTCTCAAAGTGAGGCTAAAATGGAGGGGATATCCCACCCTACCCTGAGAGTCCACCTCTACATCAAAACAAACTCTCCATGCAAAGATAGGGAGCAAATACATTAACAGTGATGCCGTGTTTTCAGTTTTGGAGTCCCCAAATAAAGTGGCAACCCTGCTACTGTATTTGCTCCCTATCTTTGCATGGAGAGTTTGTTTTGATGTAGAGGTGGGCTCTCAGGGTAGGGTGGGATATCCCCTCCATTTTGGCCTCACTTTGAGAGCTTTTTTTGAGCTTGGGAGATGATTTCAGAGAAAACCAGTGGGGCCATCGTGTATCTCGCAAACTTTTACATAAGAAACAATGGTCAAATCACAAATCCCTCACACATGCAACATCTCTATTTGGCACTTGCTAGACCCCTAGAATACCTACCTATTCCTATTCTTCTCCTATTCTTCTGTACCTATTTCTCTTTCAAAAAGAAAAAGAAAAAAGAAGAGATACTTCATTGGAATGCCTACGCAGCGTTCTTCCTTGACGCCTGAACAGAGCGATATCCGACGGAGTGGACAATCAGTCCGGCCAGAATGTGACGGGGCAGAACCTAGGTTCAGTGATGGCACTTGCTACCGAGCACGGTCGGTCCATCGGCGCTTCCACTCCTTCCCCGGCATACAAACTGTCTCATTAGTAATTATTTCAACTTCGATACTCGCTGCCGCCCACCCCAGCGCGGCTCTCCGTCGTCTCATCACGTGGCAGCCGGAGAATTTGCAGCGCCTCTCAGTGGATCGAGTCAATCAGAGAGGTCGGATAAGACATTTTTAACTGAAACTGCAAATTTTGATGAATAGGATTGCATTTTGCAAAAAGGAACCAGAAGCATTGCCATGTTGCTAAGATTGTGCGACTTCACCCTTCGCAATAAAATTACTGTAATCATGCAAAAATATGGAATTTACATGGTAATTTTTGTCTTAAATTTACAGTTTTTAGCGTGTGAAATAGAAAATATTTATAGATGACCAGGTTTTTCTTCCAAGACAAGAGAAGTTGCACAATCTTAGCAACATTGCAATGCTCTTGGTTCCTTTTTGCAAAATGCAGTCCAATAGTTTGTCACATTTTAAATTTTAAGGGGTGCTTCTAAAAGAAAATATGAAGAGGAAACCACT